TATATATATATATATATATATTTAAAAAAAAAAAAAAAAAAAAAAAAAAAAAAAAAAAAAAAAAAAAAAACTCTCTCTCTCTTTATATATATATATATTTATATATATATATAAATATATATATATATATATATATATATATATATATATATATATATATATATATATATATATATATATATATATATATATATTTTATTTATTTTTTTTTTAAATATTTCCCAAATTGTTTAACAGAGCAAAGAAATTTTCACAGCATGTCTGATATTATTTTTTCTTCTGGAGAAAGTCTTTTTTGTTTTATTTTGGCTAGAATGAAAGCTATTTTAAAATTTTTTTAAACACCTTTTCAATGTCAAAATTATTAGCCCCTTCAAGCTATAAACTTTTTTCGATAGTCTACAGAACAAACCATTGATATACAATGACTTGCCTAATTACCCTAACCTGCCGAGTTAACCTAATTAATCTAGTTAAGCCTTTAAATGTCACTTTAAGCTGTGTAGAAGTGTCTTGAAAAATATCTAGTCAAATATTATTTACTGTCATCATTGCAAAGATAAAATAAATCAGATATTAGAGATGAGTCATTAAAATGATTATGTTTAGAAATTTGTTGAAAAAAAATCTTCTCTACGTTAAACAGAAATTCGGGAAAAAAATAAACAGGGGGGTAATAATTCTGGCTTCAACTGTATTTATGGGTTCTCAAACTTGGTCCTGGAGGGCCAGTGTCCTGCAGATTTTAGCTCAAACTTGCCAACTCTCAACACACCTGCAAGGAGAGTAAGAGAGCTTGATTTGCTAGTTTAGGTGGGTCTGATTGTGGTTGGAACTAAACTTTGCAGGACACCGGCCCTCCAGGACTGAGAACCCATGATCTAGGAGGTAAAATCAATAGTTTCTGTAGATTATCTATTTGACTGATTGAATGCCTTACTGATCTGTAGCATAATGGTTTGCTTTTTAAAATATAATTTAAACAGAAAGATCAAAAGAAAGATTTTAATTTAAGTGCCCTTTGATACAGAGATTTGCCTTAAAATAGTAGTATTTTTCATAAATAAAGAACCCATAAACCCATAACAAACCCATTAAAAAACATCTTGTTTTGCTGAGTCTGATTGGTTAAGTTATGGCTCACAGTGTTTTAAAGACATTTAAAAAAAAATCGCTATTTTCCTTCAGCTTAGTCCCTTTATTCATCAAGGGTCGCCACAGCGGAATGAACCACCAACTTATCCAGCATATGTTTTACATAGTAGATGCCCTTCCAGCTGCAACCCAGTACTGGGAAACATCCATACACACTCATTCACAGACACACACACACACCGGTCAATGTTAGTTTATTTAATTCACCTGTACCACATGTCTTTGGACTGTGGGGGAAACCGGAGCACCCGGAGGAAACCCACACCAACATGGGGAGAACATACAAACTCCACACAGAAATGTCAAATGACCCAGCCGAGACTCGAACCAGCGACCTTCTTGCTGTGAGGCGACAGTGCTAACTACTGAGCAACCGTGCGCCCCCCCCCCTGCCCCCACGCCTCCACCCCCACCCCTCATGAGAAAAATGAATGGGGAAAATACTTCTACACTAATACAAGTTGTCCTAACAACAATCAATTAAGTTAACTTAATAGTTTTTTTTAATTTTAAGTTGATGGAACATAAAACAATCAAGTTGTCCCAAAAGAACTGTAATATTTCAGCTCATTTAATTTTTTTTTTTGTGCAAGAACCTTTTGTGAATTTTTATTGCTGCTTCAGGTTCTTTATGGAAGCATCAATGCCAGAAAATAACATGTTTTAAAAATACTGTGAAGGTTTTTCTTAAAATGTGTTTTTTGGTAAATCATAAAGCATTGAGCTGCAGACGTATTTGATTAGAGCTGCAACTGAACTCAGGATAGAAGCTCACACGAGCAGACCTGAGCATCCTAAATCATAACAGTACAATGAAGTGCAAGGATTAAAAAAACTAAATCCAGCAAGCAGAAAGACAGAAGCGTTCTAATCCATCATGCAGATTTCCCGTATCGTTCCACTACAATCTCCATTTCAAATTCCACATGAAATTTAAAGGTGAGACTTTCACACTTTCTTCACCCCAAACGGCATGGATGGAGAAGTGTTTACTGCCTCATTGGTAGCCCTCCAGCTGTGGCGGACACATGAAAGGCTGATGTGAGCACGGCCAAAGTCACTTCAGCTAAAACGGTTGATTTGCCGAGAATAAAACCACACATGAGAAAACGACACTGAGACGTCACGACGCATCAGGAGCCGCACTTATCACAGGTCACGGCTCACTGGAGACCAGGACCGGGCCCCAATCCTCCTTTTTTTGTGTGTTTCTTTCATTTCACTAAATTATTACCTGAGCTGAGCATTAATTAAATACTACAAGAGAGTATGATGGCTGAAAAAAGGTGATTTGG